TTCCTAAATAATTCCTCTCTCTTCTCTCATAATTTTTCTTGAGTATACAAATGTGACTGCTACTTATAGCTTTATTCTAGCTTGAAGTGACGGTAGTCTTATAATAATAGGAGACGGTACCGTGGTTACTAAACTCACAACCAAACAACACTCTATAAAGGAATCTTTAGACTAAGCTTCGATTTTCTTGGAGGAGCCGAGCAATACTCCAGGACCGACCTGTCTCATTGATCCTGGTGACACACCACTGGTGATCCTGAGCCATGATGACACTTGTGGCACCACCACTGGTTATCCTCGGCCAAGATGACACTTGTGGCACACCACTGGTGATCCTGGGCCATGATGACACTTGTGGCACCATCACTGGTGATCCTGGGCCATGATGACACTTGTGGCACCACCACTGGTGATCCTTGGCCAAGATGACACTTGTGGCACACCACTGGTGATCCTGGTCCATGATGACACCTGTGGCACCACTACTGGTGATCCTGCCAACATTCTATCAATCCAACGAAGGGTTTGTGTTATGCAAACGTTAACTGATCAGCCGGGCTGTGGTTCATACGCTGGATTGCAATAACAGTCTGGTTGACGAGGCCCTGATCCACCGTGAGGCCTGGTCATGGACAGGGCCGTGGGGAGCCGTTGACCCCTGAGACACCCTCTAGGTAGACTCCCTGCCAAAAGTTTTGTGTCCGTGAAAACATTCTATCATTCTAGCCAGTGATTTGTATCCTTTCAAACATTCTATCATTCCAGCTAATGATTTGTGTCCGTGTAAATATTCTATCATTCCAGCTAATGATTTGTGTCCGTGCAAACATTCTATCATTCCAGCTAATGATTTGTGTCCGTGTAAATATTCTATCATTCCAGCTAATGATTTGTATCCTTTCAAACATTCTATCATTCCAGCCAATGATTTGTGTCCGTGCAAACATTCTATCATTCCAGCTAATGATTTGTGTCCGTGTAAACATCCTAACATTCCAGCTAATGATTTGTGTCCGTGCAAACATTCTATCATTCCAGCCAGTGATTTGTATCCTTTCAAACATTCTATCATTCCAGCCAATGATTTGTGTCCGTGCAAACATTCTATCATTCCAGCTAATGATTTGTGTCCGTGCAAACATTCTATCATTCCAGCCAGTGATTTATGTTCCTCCTTTTTTTTTCAGCTTCCTCGTTTAGTAACTCATTTAACTCAAAATCTCAGTAGTTCAGTCAACCCATCATCGTGTCGCCTGTGCCACTTCTATCATTAATATATCTCAGAAGATAAAAATAGCTTCGTTTACCTGGCATTAACTTACGTTTATTACCTTCTAGTTATATACGAATGTCGTAGTGCCGACAGAGTAGAAGGAAAACCACAAGTTGTAGCAGAAGCTTTACTGACAAAGTCATCCTTGATTAAATCATCCTTGATTAAATCATCCTTGATTAAATCATCCTTGATTAAATCATCCTTGATTAAATCATCCTTGATTAAATCATCCTTGATTAAATCATGCTTGATAAAGTTCAGACAGAACGAAACTGTACCGAAGGTTATTCGACAAGGTCTGTCTAGTCTCTACCTCCTTCCAGAATTGTGTGGAAAATAATGTTCCTCAGCACACTCCAACCTGAGGGGATTTACCAACTGATTCTGTCACTTTACATTTAATTCCCAACAGATATTTCAGAACGTTCTGTCTAGTTATTTATTAAGCGATTTCCATTTATTTTGCGTTTTGCGAATATACATCTTGACACCCCTGACGAGATCCTCAGGAGATACTAAAGTGTATATACAGCGAAGTATCAATGGTCGGTTTCCATTGACTGGGATATTTAGCTTTTTAATGAGTGTCACTAGCGGAGTGCCACAAGGATCAGTACTGGCCCAGTGATGTTATAGTACAGTCATTAGCGGAGTGCCACAAGGATCAGTACTGGCCCAGTGATGTTATAGTACAGTCATTAGCAGAGTGCCACAAGGATTATTACCGGCCAAGTGATGTTATAGTACAGTCACTAGCGGAGTGCCACAAGGATCAGTACTGGCCCAGTGATGTTATAATACAGTCATTAGCGGAGTGCCACAAGGATCAGTACCGGCCAAGTGATGTTATAGTACAGTCATTAGCGGAGTGCCACAAGGATCAGTACCGGCCAAGTGATGTTATAGTACAGTCACTAGCGGAGTGCCACAAGGATCAGTACCAGCCAAGTGATGTTACAGTACAGTCATTAGCGGAGTGCCACAAGGATCAGTACCAGCCAAGTGATGTTATAGTACTGTCATTAGCGGAGTGCCACAAGGATCAGTACCGGCCAAGTGATGTTATAGTACAGTCATTAGCGGAGTGCCACAAGGATCAGTACCGGCCAAGTGATGTTATAGTACAGTCATTAGCGGAGTGCCACAAGGATCAGTACTGGCCCAGTGATGTTATAGTACAGTCATTAGCGGAGTGCCACAATGATCAGTACTAGCCCAGTGATGTTATAGTACAGTCACTAGCGGAGTGCCACAAGGATTAGTACCAGCCAAGTGATGTTATAGTACAGTCACTAGCGGAGTGCCACAAGGATCAGTACTGGCCCAGTGATATTACAGTACAGTCATTAGCGGAGTGCCACAAGGATCAGTACTGGCCCAGTGATGTTATAGTACAGTCGCTAGTGAAGTCAGGATCTTACGAGGATCAAATAGCAAAAAGACATTATGATCAACCTCGGGATTCTTCCTCAGAGGACCGGACACAACCCAGGACCTTCGTCCCGCACATCACTGTTTCCAGCCACTTTGATACCTTGGAAAAGCGAGTGAAATAAATGACATATAGAAAAGTTACATGGATATTTATGATTAAATGTTGAAGAAAAATGAACCTCCAGCACTCTAACTACGGCTTGATAAAGTTCCTGGAGAACGTAACGTTGCCACAATATAATGTCACATTAGTTGCACTCGTGTCCTTTTACCTAACTACCATCACCATGGCCACTACTATTAACACCATTACCAGCGTTCCTTCTACCACTCCTACTGCTATTCATTGTTTATTCATTGTTCTTGGTGTTTTAGTGGACAAACATTGCTCCATTAGCCACAATCAATATATAAAGTTGAATTCAGTATTTGCAGAGCGCTGTTCCACTGAATGATTAAATGAATTACTTATTTTTACACTTACAATTTGAATGGTCCGTCTGTGCGAGCGCTCTGCAACTCCATAAATCTTGACCCAAATTTGTGTTCCACATTTTGCCTCAGTGTTTCATACCATTGTTTTGTGTTACTTAATCGCTTTAAACTTTAAATAGTCCTTCGTGTTTGAGCATCAGATGTGTTTAGCATTTAAAAAGCTTGAGTGAGATCCTGTTGTCTCTATTCTTAAGAACATATTAAAGGTATTAAATTTTTCATTATACAGTTTGTTCGTGTCCTCTCCTTGTTTTTCTTCGTCTTATATACAATATAAGAAACTAAACTAGACAGCCAGTTCAGTGTTATTTCTGAGATTGGTGTTGTAGAGCCCAATATTCTTCCTTTTGCTTTGTACTCCAAATTTCTAAATATGAAATCAAGCATTATGTTGTCTTTGCTGCACGCAGGTAGACATTGTTCAATATACTTTAGGTCATTGCTATGATTGAATGCTCTTTCTTCACACGTTGAAGTGTCCGGGTTCGATTCCCGGCAGGGGTGGAAACATTGCAAGCGTTTCTTTACACCGGTTGTCCTGTTCACCTAGCAAGTAGGTACCTAGGTGTTAGTCGACAGGTGTGGGTCGCATCCTGGGGACAACACTGACGACCCCAATGGAAATAAAAGTCCTCGATGACGCACTGCCTTTCTTGAGTTATCCAGGGTGGCTAACCCTCCGGGGTTAAAAATCCGAACAAAATCTTGTTTTTTCCCAGCTAGTGGGATTACAAATATTTATATTTACGTTTGATATTTACCCCAAATTTATTACCTTACACATCACTTCTGAAGTTCATTTTGAACAGTTTTGTTGAGTGAACCGCAGCTTGATCCCTCCTGTCACTTTGAAACCTCTGGAGTCCAGTTGTTTTCAAGAGTGGACAACCCTGGGATATTTTTAATGTTCTGCGCATGAGCTGAAGGACTAGCCTAGTCTTTGATATACCTAGACTGAGTGAGGCTATTAAATGATGGAACTCGTACTGACATCTCTGTCCACTATCGATATGACGACCCGTCTTGCAAATAGCCAGACAGAACTTGCTGTATATAATACTAATCGAAACCTAATGGTATATACACACTGAGACATACTCACCTTTAGTTGTGTAGATAAATGGTTCAGAGGACCCACAACTCTCGGGTATATTTACTGAGAAAACGTTTCGCCACGCAGTGACTTTATCAGCTCTAACCAAAGAAGAATGACTCACGAAATCGTAATGACACGATTGCAAACAACCCATACCACGGGCGGGGATAGAACCCGCGATCAGAGCCTCAAAACTGTCATTACGATTTCGTGAGTGATATTAACGGCTTTGAGGGGACTTGAGCTAGAGTTCGTCACGGCTACGCTAGCTGAAGATTCGTCTGTAAAAAGTTGCATTTATGGTCACAGTGGTGCCTATGCTAACCTTCCTATGGTGTAGAAATATACCTAGTTGGACGAATCTTATTGTGGCTAGCTGGTCTAGTGGCTAACGCGACGGTCTGGAGTTTTGAGACTCTCTGACCGCGGGTTCTATCCCCACCCGTGGTATGGTTTAAACAAGAATGGTGAAGATCAGGAGTTTGAAGTAATCAGTCCCTCAGCCTGGAGTCGATGTAATCAGTCCATTAGTCTTGAAGGACTGATTATAGGGCGAAACGTTTCCTCAATCAAGATACCCAAGTACTGCACATGTGTCTAATTTATCACCCTAAGTTGCACTTTACTGACCCTCCAGTTATTGCTTTGTGTTTTTTTGTAAATAATGATAATAACTTCTCGTTAATTGCTTGCCTTCACAGCGAGGTCAGGGGAGGGAGCGTGCCCCTCTGACCCCCACCGCTCGCCAGAGGTTGTGTTTGCCCTGGCTCCAGGGTTAAAGGCCCTGGCTTGTGTCAACAATCAGACCTCAGTATGGCCCACTGGCGACCGTGTGTTGCTGGCGCACTGTGACCAAGGCATCTGGGAACATGACAACACCACCTGCAACCAGTCTTCAGGTGAGTTTGATAATGAATTTACTTACTTTCTGCAGTTTATTGATGCATTTATATGTTGCCGTAGCCCCTATTTTCAGTTTCTTTACCTGGAGTGTTTACCTGGAGTGAGTTCCGGGGGTCAACGCCCCCGCGGCCCGGTCTGTGACCAGGCCTCCTTAGGTCAGTGTCCCAGGATGCGACCCACACCAGTCGACTAACACCCAAGTACCCATTTTACTGATGGGGAACATAGACAACAGGTGGAAAGAAACACGTCCAATGTTTCTACTTTGGCTGGGAATCGAACCCAGGCCCTCACCGTGTGAAGCGAGAGCGTTAACCACCAGGCCACCAGAGCATAATATTTCTTCACAAATAACAGAGTGAAATATTCTACCACTCGTCACCTGTCTAGACTTAAGTAGTTTATAAGTGTAAGATTAAGTGTACCCGAAATAGTGGTTTTATTTACTACAATCAAATTATGATATGTAAACAAAGAAATAATTTTTTATTATTATTAAAGTACTGGTTTTATTTTTCTTTGTACTGTGACTTGTTTGTATGTTAATTTCCATGGAATTATCTCATTCTTAGTTTACAATTATTATTTTCTTTTGAATAACGTCTCTCCCAGTATACTGACAGGGGGAGGCTGGAGTGGTGAGAGGGGGAGGCTGGAGTGGTGAGAGGGGGAGGCTGGAGTGGTGAGAGGGGAGGCTGGAGTGGGAGAGGGGGAGGCTGGAGTGGTGAGAGGGGGAGGCTGGAGTGGTGAGAGGGGGAGGCTGGAGTGGTGAGAGGGGGAGGCTGGAGTGGTGAGAGGGGGAGGCTGGAGTGGTGAGAGGGGGAGGCTGGAGTGGTGAGAGGGGGAGGCTGGAGTGGTGAGAGGGGGAGGCTGAGTGGTGAGAGGGGGAGGCTGGAGTGGTGAGAGGGGAGGCTGGAGTGGTGAGAGGGGGAGGCTGGAGTGGTGAGAGGGGGAGGCTGGAGTGGTGACAGGGGGAGGCTGGAGTGGTGACAGGGGGAGGCTGGAGTGGTGAGAGGGGAGGGAGGAGTGGTTGAGAGGGGAGGGAGGAGTGGTTGAGAGGGGAGGGAGGAGTGGTTGAGAGGGGAGGGAGGAGTGGCTGAGAGGGGAGGGAGGAGTGGGTGAAGGGGAGGGAGGAGTGGGTGAGAGGGGAGGGAGGAGTGGTTGAGAGGGGAGGGAGGAGTGGCTGAGAGGGGAGGGAGGAGTGGGTGAGAGGGGAGGGAGGAGTGGCTGAGAGGGGAGGGAGGAGTGGTTGAGAGGGGAGGGAGGAGTGGCTGAGAGGGGAGGGAGGAGTGGTTGAGAGGGGAGGGAGGAGTGGTTGAGAGGGGAGGGAGGAGTGGTTGAGAGGGAGGGAGGAGTGGCTGAGAGGGGAGGGAGGAAGTGGTTGAGAGGGGAGGGAGGAGTGGCTGAGAGGGGAGGGAGGAGTGGCTGAGGGTTGGAATTGGCCATAAAGTTGATGGCGGACAGTCTAGCTCCAAGGAATTTGAGGAATCTACCCACCCCTTCCTCGGATCAAATATTATTAATTTCAATTCCCTATGTTCTGTATGACCCTCCCCCTATATATTTACCAGTTCCTCATGAAAATATATATATATATATATATATATATATATATATATATATATATAATATATAAATATATATATATATGACTTAGGTTGTACTGTTTGTTCAGTAGACCTTCACTCTTCATCCTGGACGACTCAAGTGGGGTTATCACTGCACATTACAGGATAATGTAATGACACGATTGCAAACAAACCATACCACGGGCGGGATTTGAACCCGCGGTCAGAGAGTCAGTATAATGTATACTTTATACAATGAGTAAATAACGCCATTTTTAATTGTCATTGATATACAGATGGTAAGCCGCTGCCTGTGTGTGATGCGACGAAGATCCCGACCCCCAACAACACTAACGCTACACTCAACTTGAGTGACTCCCAGCACTTGTATGCTGTGTACTACCAGTGTGTGGAACCCATGTCCTGGCTCTCAGGCCAGTCTGGCAGGATCACACAGTGTATCAACGGAAACTGGACACCTATCTTCGATATCTGTGATTATGGTACGTAAAGAGAGAGAGAGAGAGAGAGAGAGAGAGAGAGAGAGAGAGAGAGAGAGAGAGAAAGAGAGAGAGAGAGAGAGAGAGAGAGAGAGAGAGAGAAAGAAAGAGAGAAAGAGAGAAAGAGATAAAGAAAGAAAGAGAAAAAGAGAGAAAGAATTTTTCATTCCTTCAATATTGATAGTTACCTTCATCTTTCATTGTTTTTCTTAACAGTTCTTAAATCTATATCGTTGACTTTCCAAGTGGATAAAAAAAAAAAACACGTCTTAGGTTAATAGATCTAAAAAGGCCCTAGTAATTACCAGAGAAAAAAACTAATAAAATGTACTTAAAGCTGAGTTGTTTGAAGGTGTATTGATGTGATGACAGTGTTATTAGAGGACTGGTTGTTTATGTTAGAAGTGAAGGGAAGCTGGATGTCCAGGTTCCCTTCACTCCTAACATAAACAACCAGTGAGACAAGAAAGATGGCAGCATCTGGATAGAACAAGTTAAAGGAATTAAAACAGTATATATGAGGCAATATGAGGAATATATATTGTGACTGAGTGAAGATCAAGAAATGTAAAGGATTAGTATGGGCTGTTGGCTTAGTACAGGCCAGTAGGCCTGCTGCAGTGTTCCTCCTTTCTTATGTAATGTTCTTAAATGTTAAAATCAAAGAATTTTGTGGTTTAGAACAAACTGGAATGTGAGAAGTGGTTAATTGTTAGCGTTTATGTAGCGGGACGTTGTAACATTTTATGTGAGAGACGGGGACTGAGAAGTGTTAAGTGCAAGTCTGGGAACACATAAATAACCCGCAATTAGGAGGAAGAAACTACGACGACGTTTCGGTCCGACTTGAACCATTTACAGTGTGACCTGTAAATGGTCCAAGTAGGACCAAAACATAGTCCTGGCTTCTCCCTCCTATGTTTGGCCTGCCAGAGTGCGAAGGACTGTTTGGCCTGCCAGAGTGGGAAGGACTGTTTGGCCTGCCAGAGTGCGAAGGACTGTTTGGCCTGCCAGAGTGGGAAGGACTGTTTGGCCTGCCAGAGTGGGAAGGACTGTTTGGCCTGCCAGAGTGGGAAGGACTGCTGGGCCTGCCAGAGTGGGAAGGACTATTTGGCCTGCCAGAGTGGGAAGGACTGTTGGGCCTGCCAGAGTGGGAAGGACTATTTGGCCTGCCAGAGTGGGAAGGACTGTTTGGCCTGCCAGAGTGGGAAGGACTGTTTGGCCTTCCAGAGTGGGAAGGACTGCTAATCCTGCCAGAGTGGGTAGGACTGCTGGGCCTGCCAGAGTGGGAAGGACTGTTTGGTCTGCCAGAGTGGGAAGGACTGTCTGGCCTACCAGAGTGGGAAGGACTGTTTGGCCTGCCAGAGTGAGAAGGACTGTTTGGCCTGCCAGAGTGGGAAGGACTGCTGGGCCTGCCAGAGTGAGAAGGACTGTTTGGCCTGCCAGAGTGGGAAGAACTGTTTGGCCTGCCAGAGTGGGAAGGACTGTTGGGCCTGCCAGAGTGGGAAGGACTGCTGGGCCTGCCAGAGTGGAAGGGACTGTTTGGCCTGCCAGAGTGAGAAGGACTGTTTGGCCTGCCAGAGTGGGAAGGACTGCTGGACCTGCCAGAGTGGGAAGGACTGTTTGGCCTGCCAGAGTGGGAAGGACTGTTTGGCCTGTCAGAGTGGGAAGGACTGTTGGGCCTGCTAGAGTGTGAAGGACTGTTGGGAATGCCAGAGTGGGAAGGATTGTTTGGCCTGCCAGAGTGGGAAGGATTGTTTGGCCTGCCAGAGTGGGAAGGTCTGCTGGGCCTGCCAGAGTGGGAAGGACTGCTGGACCTGCCAGAGTGGGAAGGACTGCTGGGCCTGCCAGAGAGGGAAGAACTGCTGGGCCTGCCAGAGTGGGAAGGACTGCTGGGCCTGCCGGAGTGGGAAGGACTGTTGGGCCTGCCAGAGTGGGAAGGACTGTTGGGCCTGACGGAGTGGGAAGGACTGTTGGGGCTGCCAGAGTGGGAAGGTCTGTTGGGCCTGCCAGAGTGGGAAGGACTGTTGGGCCTGCCAGAGTGGGAAGGACTGTTGGGCCTGCCAGAGTGGGAAGGACTGTTGGGCCTGCCAGAGTGGGAAGGACTGTTGGGCCTGCCAGAGTGGGAAGGACTGTTGGGCCTGCCAGAGTGGGAAGGATTGTTGGGCCTGCCAGAGTGGGAAGGACTGTTGGGCCTGCCAGAGTGGGAAGGACTGCTGGGCCTGCCAGAGTGGGAAGGATTGTTGGGCCTGCCAGAGTGGGAAGGATTGTTGGGCCTGCCAGAGTGGGAAGGACTGTTGGGCCTGCCAGAGTGGGAAGGACTGTTGGGCCTGCCAGAGTGAGAAGGACTGTTGGGCCTGCCATAGTGAGAAGGACTGTTGGGCCTGCCAGAGTGAGAAGGACTGTTGGGCCTGCCAGAGTGGGAAGGATTGTTGGGCCTGCCAGAGTGGGAAGGATTGTTGGGCCTGCCAGAGTGGGAAGGACTGTTGGGCCTGCCAGAGTGAGAAGGACTGTTGGGCCTGCCAGAGTGGGAAGGACTGTTGGGCCTGCCAGAGTGGGAAGGACTGTTGGGCCTGCCAGAGTGGGAAGGACTGTTGGGCCTGCCAGAGTGGGAAGGACTGTTGGGCCTGCCAGAGTGGGAAGGATTGTTGGGCCTGCCAGAAGTGTAAGGACTGTTGGGCTTCTGCACAAGGTGAAAGGAAGACTGTTAAAGTGAACAGAATGGTAAAGGACGTCTTGATAACTGACAGCATAGTAGAAGAATTGTTGGGAACGTGCAGAGTGGAAGCGGAAGTTAGGCTTTCCCAATAGAGTGGTGGAATAAAGAATAAATGATCTGTTCTGTAAAGAAATATTAAGTGGTGATTAAAGTAAAAGCAACAGATTCTGATAATAAAAGTAATCCCAACAATACTTTAACGTGTGAGTTTATTAAGAATAATAATTTTCGAAAAGTTAAAAGCAAATTGAAAGGAAGAAAAAATGTTGGAGAGTTGAAGCTTATAATGGGTTGTTCTCGGTCAAGAATAGGTGGGGAGGTAAAAGGGAATAAGAAATATCTGTTCGATGGCAAAGGGGGATATGAGCTAATAATACCAAGTAATTTCCAACAAATGTATTTTAACTGTATGCTTCCAGAGTAGTTTATAATGGTAAGAAGAAACGCCATTTCTACTGGGAACATGTTGCTATTGAACCCAAGTAAAAAACATGAAAATTAATAAAAAAAGAAAAATTCAGAATAATAGTAATAATGGTTTTATCTAATCAAATAATATGTTTAACAAATACATACAAGGTCTAAGGCCTAGTTTGGTTAAATATTTATAAAAGAAAGATGAGAGCTAAGAATTAAGGAATTTAAATTTAATTGGGTAAAGTGATGTCCAACAAATTATTACAGATATTTACAGAGGTGAACATGCCATAATGTAAAGAAGAAAACAGTCGCATAAGAATTTCCAGCCTGACGGATCGACTGCCCCGCTCAGTGTGACAGTCCGCGTAACAACGGGACACATGAAATAATTAACATAATAAAAATAAGTAATAATACTAATAATAATAATAATAATTCATAAATAATAATAATAATAATAAAACTAATAATAATAATTTTAATACAAATACATGTACAAGGTATACAGGCCTAGTTGGCATTAATTATATACTACTATATAGAAAGCCTCTTGTTATGCTAAGAATTAACGGAAATTAGATTAATTTTGTCCCAGGATGCGACCCACACCAATCAACTAACACCCAAGTACCTATTTTACTGATAGGTGAACAAGAACAACAGGTGTCTTAAGAAAACACGTCCCAATGTTTCCAGCCGTACCGGGGATCGACTCCCCGGACGTCAGTGTGTCAGCTGAGTACGCTGGTAGTCGAACTACGGGACACTATGTATTTCCTTCACTGTTATTAACAGGAGATAAAAATATTAGTGTTATGACTGCAGAAACAAAAAACTGATTCATAGAGAGTAAGCAACGTGTACATTTAGTGTTGGCACTGCAATACAGACCTGAACAATACTTAGATCAGATAAAGGAGTTTGTTGTTACATCTTGGTGTGTTTCAGGTTGTCCTCTGTGTCGAGACTGTGGTGACATTGCCATGATGGGGTTTACACAGACTGGAGTATATAGGGTAGTGCCTAGCGGCAACTACTTTGATCCTAGCATTCAGGTGAGTTCTGGGAGTCGTTTCTAAACTAGTCATTAGTATTAATGTGAACACCATGTGATCATTGTACTTAGGAGAGTCCCAGGGAAGATGCACCAAAAATTACAGTAAGATGACCAAGCAGATCCTAGAATTTATTCAGTGATGACCCAACTGGTCCTAGTGCTCAGTGATGACCCAACTGGTCCTAGTGCTCAGTGATGACCCAACTGGTCCTAGTGCTCAGTGATGACCCAACTGGTCCTAGTGCTCAGTGATGACCCAACTGGTCCTAGTACTCAGTGATGACCCAACTGGTCCAAGTGCTCAGTGATGCCACATCTGATCCTAGTAGTCATTAATGCCCTAACTGATCCTAATATTCACTGATGATTCATCTGTTATTCAAGGGTTCCAGAATGACGAAGTAACTCATCCTGTTATGACCAGTCCCGAAAAAAGGACCCAGTTCATTCCCTTTTTACATTATTCTCGGGTCCCAACAATGACGACCCAGCTGATCCTAACATCCGGTGAAGCCCCAAGTGCGTCAGTGATGCCTAACAAATGGTAATGTTGCAGGTGTGGTGTGATCTGAACAACACACTTGTTGATGGAGGGAGCGGCTGGACCACCGTGCTAAGGCAGTACGCTAACCAGGCCACCTTCAATCTGCCACTGATAAATTACACGACTCCCATAGGCAACCCGAACCTCAGCGCTACTGCACAGCCAACCAGCTACTTCATAGGTAAAGTGTGTGTGTGTGTGTGTGTGTGTGTGTGTGTGTGTTTTATAAACATCTGCTTCATAACCTCTGGCGTTCTTCAGTCGCTACAACCATTATAGAAGTGACAGTATTTCCCAAAGTAGATACATTTCGGTCGCTGTGCGATCCGAAAAAGGTATTTCCGTATTTCATAACTCCTGTTCCATGTGCCTCAATATATGCGATTGGAACAGTGCAGAGTGCGGCACGAGATGATAATGCAGTTAAATATTATTTAGCGTTGAAGATTTGAAAGGAATCAGAAGAGGCATTTACTTCAATTCATTATCTAGAAACTAACATCCACATTAAAAAAAAAAAATGGTAAATTAGCACATAAACAGACTAAATAAAATTCAGATCTTTCAGAGGGACCAACGAGACCAATATCCTAAAATACACAAGCACGTTAAGATCAAGCAAGTCAGGTGGTGCTTTAAAGTTATCAACTTGGGAAGCTTGAAGCTGATAAGTTATCAACTTGGGAAGCTTGAAGCTGATAAGTTATCAACTTGAGAAGCTTGAAGCTGATAAGTTATCAACTTGGGAAGCTTGAAGCTGATAAGTTATCAACTTGGGAAGCTTGAAGCTGATAAGTTATCAACTTGGGAAGCTTGAAGCTGATAAGTTATCAATTTTGGGAAGCTTGAAGCTGATAAGTTATCAACTTGGGAAGCTTGAAGCTGAATAAGTTATCAACTTGGGAAGCTTGAAGCTGATAAGTTATCAGCTTGAGAAGCTTGAAGCTGATAAGTTATCAACTTGAGAAGCTTGAAGCTGATAAGTTATCAGCTTGAGAAGCTTGAAGCTGATAAGTTATCAACTTGAGAAGCTTGAAGCTGATAAGTTATCAACTTGGGAAGCTTGAAGCTGATAAGTTATCAACTTGGGAAGCTTGAAGCTGATAAGTTATCAATTTGAGAAGCTTGAAGCTGATAAGTTATCAGCTTGAGAAGCTTGAAGCTGATAAGTTATCAACTTGGGAAGCTTGAAGCTGATAAGTTATCAACTTGAGAAGCTTGAAGCTGATAAGTTATCAACTTGAGAAGCTTGAAGCTGATAATTTTATCAACTTGAGAAGCTTGAAGCTGATAAGTTATCAGCTTGAGAAGCTTGAAGCTGATAAGTTATCAACTTGAGAAGCTTGAAGCTGATAAGTTATCAACTTGGGAAGCTTGAAGCTGATAAGTTATCAAATTGGGAAGCTTGAAGCTGATAAGTTATCAACTTGGGAAGCTTGAAGCTGATAAGTTATCAACTTGGGAAGCTTGAAGCTGATAAGTTATCAACTTGGGAAGCTTGAAGCTGATAAGTTATCAACTTGGGAAGCTTGAAGCTGATAAGTTATCAGCTTGAGAAGCTTGAAGCTGATAAGTTATCAACTTGAGAAGCTTGAAGCTAAATAAGTTATCAACTTGAGAAGCTTGAAGCTGATAAGTTATCAACTTGAGAAGCTTGAAGCTGATAAGTTATCAACTTGAGAAGCTTGAAGCTGATAAGTTATCAACTTGAGAAGCTTAAAAGCTGATAAGTTATCAACTTGGGAAGCTTGAAGCTGATAAGTTATCAACTTGAGAAGCTTGAAGCTGATAAGTTATCAACTTGGGAAGCTTGAAGCTGATAAGTTATCAACTTGAGAAGCTTGAAGCTCATAAGTTATCAACTTGAGAAGCTTGAAGCTGATAAGTTATCAACTTGGGAAGCTTGAAGCTGATAAGTTATCAACTTGAGAAGCTTGAAGCTGATAAGTTATCAACTTGAGAAGCTTGAAGCTGATAAGTTATCAGCTTGAGAAGCTTGGAAGCTGTTTAAGTTATCAACTTGAGAAGCTTGAAGCTGATAAGTTATCAATTTGAGAAGCTTGAAGCTGATAAGTTATCAACTTGGGAAGCTTGAAGCTGATAAATTATCAACTTGAGAAGCTTGAAGCTGATAAGTTATCAACTTGGGAAGCTTGAAGCTGATAAGTTAATCAGCTTGAGAAGCTTGAAGCTGATAATTTTATCAACTTGAGAAGCTTGAAGCTGATAAGTTATCAACTTGGGAAGCTTGAAGCTGATAAGTTATCAACTTGAGAAGCTTGAAGCTGATAAGTTATCAACTTGAGAAGCTTGAAGCTGATAAGTTATCAACTTGAGAAGCTTGAAGCTGTTTAAGTTATCAACTTGAGAAGCTTGAAGCTGAAAGTTATCAACTTGAGAAGCTTGAAGCTGATAAGTTATCAACTTGGGAAACTTGAAGCTGATAAGTTAAATCAACTTGAGAAGCTTGAAGCTGATAAGTTATCAACTTGGGAAGCTTGAAGCTGATAAGTTATCAACTTGAGAAGCTTGAAGCTGATAAGTTATCAACTTGGGAAGCTTGAAGCTGATAAGTTATCAACTTGAGAAGCTTGAAGCTGATAAGTTATCAGCTTGAGAAGCTTGAAGCTGATAAGTTATCAACTTGGGAAGCTTGAAGCTGATAAGTTATCAACTTGAGAAGCTTGAAGCTGATAAGTTATCAACTTGGGAAGCTTGAAGCTGATAAGTTATCAGCTTGAGAAGCTTGAAGCTGATAAGTTATCAACTTGGGAAGCTTGAAGCTGATAAGTTATCAACTTGGGAAGCTTGAAGCTGATAAGTTATCAGCTTGAGAAGCTTGAAGCTGATAAGTTATCAGCTTGAGAAGCTTGAAGCTGATAAGTTATCAACTTGGGAAGCTTGAAGCTGATAAGTTATCAGCTTGAGAAGCTTGAAGCTGATAAGTTATCAACTTGAGAAGCTTGAAGCTGATAAGTTCAACTTGGGAAGCTTGAAGCTGATAAGTTATCAGCTTGAGAAGCTTGAAGCTGATAAGTTATCAGCTTGAGAAGCTTGAAGCTGATAAGTTATCAGCTTGAGAAGCTTGAAGCTGATAAGTTATCAACTTGAGAAGCTTGAAGCTGATAAGTTATCAACTTGGGAAGCTTTGAAGTCTGATAAGTTTTCAGCTTGAGAAGCTTGAAGCTGATAAGTTATCAACTTGAGAAGCTTGAAGCTGATAAGTTATCAACTTGAGAAGCTTGAAGCTGATAAGTTATCAGCTTGAGAAGCTTGAAGCTGATAAGTTATCAACTTGGAAGCTTGAAGCTGATAAGTTATCAACTTGGGAAGCTTGAAGCTGATAAGTTATCAGCTTGAGAAGCTTGAAGCTGATAAGTTATCAACTTGGGAAGCTTGAAGCTGATAAGTTATCAGCTTGAGAAGCTTGAAGCTGATAAGTTATCAACTTGAGAAGCTTGAAGCTGATAAGTTATCAGCTTGAGAAGCTTGAAGCTGATAAGTTATCAGCTTGAGAAGCTTGAAGCTGATAAGTTATCAACTTGGAAGCTTGAAGCTGATAAGTTATCAACTTGGGAAGCTTGAAGCTGATAAGTTATCAGCTTGAGAAGCTTGAAGCTGATAAGTTATCAGCTTGAGAAGCTTGAAGCTGATAAGTTATCAACTTGGGAAGCTTGAAGCTGATAAGTTATCAGCTTGGGAAGCTTGAAGCTCATAAGTTATCAGCTTGAGAAGCTTGAAGCTGTTTAAGTTATCAGCTTGAGAAGCTTGAAGCTGATAAGTTATCAGCTTGAGAAGCTTGAAGCTGATAAGTTATCAACTTGGGAAGCTTGAAGCTGATAAGTTATCAGCTTGAGAAGCTTGAAGCTGATAAGTTATCAACTTGGGAAGCTTGAAGCTGATAAGTTATCAGCTTGAGAAGCTTGAAGCTGATAAGTTATCAACTTGGGAAGCTTGAAGCTGATAAGTTATCAGCTTGAGAAGCTTGAAGCTGATAAGTTATCAGCTTGAGAAGCTTGAAGCTGATAAGTTATCAGCTTGAGAAGCTTGAAGCTGATAAGTTATCAGCTTGAGAAGCTTGAAGCTGATAAGTTATCAGCTTGAGAAGCTTGAAGCTGATAAGTTATCGCATGAAAAGCAGTACTATTCCAATTTTTCTAATTAAAAAAACAAGTGATCCAACACTGGTCAAAAATCAATCCAAACTTTTCTGTAAGACAGATAAGTTTTAAGAAAGTAAGTTTTACATAAGCTTAGTGTACATAAAATAAATAATTTTAACACTGGTCTTGAGGACACACAAATGTTATAAATGTTATAAACACGTAAGAGAACATTAAGTTGATTTAACCCAATATAACTAAATAAAGTCAAACACTGCGACTTATTTCTGGTCAAACGAAATATTCATCATTTATCTCACAGAAAGCAATTCCATTAATAAAATTATAACATGATAACTTACACAACCTGACATCAAGACTGTTTCCTCTGAGGATAACACATCAGCACTAAAAGTTAAAATACCCGACCAGAAGATGCATTTTCCAGTTATTTCGGAATCCTAAACCCATGGAACGTTCCTCTCATTCTATACGATGCATCACCCATTGAAGGTCGATGCCATTAACAACTGTTATATTTTAATCAGGGGGAAGTGCTAAACCAGCAGGGGTCATATAGCACCTATGGACCAGGAAGTATTCAAATACGATCAAAGAGAGAAAAAAATTCTCTCACCAACATAAAGGCAAAATAATCCAGTAACGTAAAATAATACTATACCATTTCGAGAACAAAAGTGTCAACATGGAATCTCCACTCCATTATTGAACTGTTGTAGAGGTGTCACCTTTGTCTCACACCTCTACAACACAAGGCAACTTACGTGACTTAAGGTAGTTAACCGCTGTAGAGTACGTGTCTCAACACACATACAGTTGTGTGGCATTAAGACCAACTTTTGTTACATTGTCGACACCTTGTGGATACAGGGTGTACAATGTTAGTGGATACAGGGTGTACAATGTTAGTGGATACAGGGTGTACAATGTTAGTGGATAGAGGTGCACAATGTTAGTGGATACAGGGTGTACAATGTTAGTGAATACAGGGTGTACAATGTTAGTGGATAGAGGTGTACAATGTTAGTGTATACAGGGTGTACAATGTTAGTGGATACAGGGTGTACAATGTTAGTGGATACAGGGTGTACAATGTTAGTGGATACAGGGTGTACAATGTTAGTGGATACAGGGTGTACAATGTTAGTGGATACAGGGTTTTACAATGTTAGTGAATACAGGGTGTACAATGTTAGTGGGATAGAGGATGTACAATGTTAGTGGATACAGGGTGTACAATGTTAGTGGATAGAGGTGTACAATGTTAGTGGATACAGGGTGTACAATGTTAGTGTATACAGGGTGTACAATGTTAGTGGATACATGGTGCACAATGTTAGTGGATAGAGGTGTACAATGTTAGTGGATACAGGGTGTACAATGTTAGTGAATACAGGGTGTACAATGCTAGTGGATAGAGGTGTACAATGTTAGTGCATACAGGGTGTACAATGTTAGTGGATACAGGGTGTACAATGTTAGTGAATAGACATGTACAATGTTAGTGGATACAGGGTGTACAATGTTAGTGGATACAGGGTGTACAATGTTAATAGATAGAGGTGTACAATGTTAATGGATACAGGGTGTA